AAGACACACCACTCCTTTACGTCGTCTTGGGATGGTCGACTTTGGTGCCACAGAGGGGGTTTGGATGAGGATCATGGTGGGCTGCGGGCGCTGGCGGCGTATGCCTTCAAGGAGTCAGGGGGTCCAACGGAGCCCAAGGTTTGGTCGGCTGGGGGCAGTGGAAGCCGTGAAGAAAGTAATGCAGGGAGGGAGGCTTTATGAGGCGCCATGGGCACTTCCGATTCTTCCTTAGAGCAAGGGCACCGACTGGGGAGGTTCCGGGAGGTTTTTTCTGAAGGGACTCTTGGCCCAAGCAGTTGGGTATGTTTCTTCCGCCCTCCCTTTTTTAGATATAGGGAGCCACCTCAAGAGTGATTGGACATGAATCCCCGCCCGATTTCTGTCAATCAGAGTGCCCACTAAAAATCGCACCCATCAGGAGCAGGCAGCTTTGGGACAGGAGGCGGCCGCAGGCGACGGCGGCGTCCCAGCCAGCGGGGTAGGCTGAGATGGTCCATGCCCCGCAACCCATCACCCCTCATAGGTGATTCCTACCTCCAACCGTTGCCGTTCCCAAACAATTTTTCCGCCTGATGGTCCGGAGGCTATTGCCACTTCGCAACAAAGCTACCCACTCGGCGACTCCCCAGACTTTGCCAGCGGTCAAATCAAAGTCTGCCGGTTATCCTAAAGGATATTGGGAATGATTCGTGCGTCCTCCGGTTTTTGCGTCTCTCTGTGACCTTGTTATCCCCCCCAAAACTTGGAGCGGGGGGGGGGGGGGGGGGCAAACATTTTGATGCGAAGAACAAGAGCTTGTGAATTTAGAGGGTATATGGGCAAAAGTGGAGGACGTGTAGGGAGGAGGAGCTCCCCAATTTCAAAATACACATGCGCACACACGGCTATGAACTTTGACAGTGGGCCCTAATGCCCCCCATTCGAACTCCATGCCCATACTTGTGCTTCTGAGTTTTTCCTGATATTGGGGGCCACCTCTTGGATGGTTAAACAAGACAAATCACATGAGAAGCATGAGTCGCCTGTGCGTAAAACCCACTCATCGCTTCAATTTCTTATGGGGTTGGCAAAAGCCGTTTTCGTGGCAAGAGCTATTTGGCCTGTGCAACTTTGATAATACATGAGAGCACCTCATTAAAGCATTCTTCAGTACCTGTTCCGACGAAAGATCCTCCACAAAAGTCTTAGTTTGAGAGTCGGAGATACAGCACCGTGTCCGTGAACCCTGGCCTTATTACGGGCCGACGGCGTTGAACATTTCTTCAAGCTTTGCCAACTTCTCTCTGTGCGCTGCGTTCCAATGAAGCGTGGCAGGTTTCGGGGCTTCCGGTTGGCAGCATCAACTTGTTGGGTTGGGGGGGGGGGGTTTAGCCCGGACTGAGGTGCCGGCACAAGGGACGTGTGCCAAATGCACCCCAAATAACAGTGTTTCCCGCCTAACTTGTGCCTTTGAAGTGGTCTCCAAACCCGATGTTTTTGGAACCTGGGTACGCCGCACTAGCCACTTCTCACACGAGCTTTTGTTGTCTGAGGCTGTAGATTGCTGTTGTTTGGGAGTTGAGGGTTTTGGTGTGCGACCTCAGAAAGGGGGGGGGGGGCTTCTCTGGCATCGCAAAAGTGGGGCAACATCACTTGTTTCCAGAACTATTCTGTGAAATAAGGTGACCAAGGACAAGACGTTGCTTTTGACAGCCGGTGCCGGCCATACAAAGCATGGGCCACCGCACATAGCAGAACAACGCCCGTGAGCTAAATTGCCCCAAAGTCTAGCTACGCCAGCGGGCCTCAAGGAACTTCTCTTAGGCGTGGTGTCTGCAACAGGGAATCTCATGTGTGAGGTCCTCAGCCATGCATGTTCCGCAACCCGTCATGAGCGCAACCATTCCCCCCAACCACCAACCCCCCAACCCTGTGCAACTGTGCAATGCCCAGTTACTCTGCCAGATATATAGCTGTTTTGTGCAAAATCACAAACCATACGCAGGCGACTTGCAACGTTACCAGCTTCTGGTGGTTGTACTACCTGGTTTAATTTCAGTTATAGTAAAACCAATGTAAACCTTTTTTCCCAAAAGTCGGCTCTCGGCTCGTTCGGCGCCAGGGCGAGCCTCTGCCGCCTTCGACGAGCTGGAGGCGCAGATGTGGCGCATCCTGCGGGTGTCGGAGGCGTGAAACGCGGCGCGTTTCTGGAGGGATGAAGACAGGCTCAGACCGGGGAGGTGGTGCCCAGTGTGTTGCCCCTTTTCCCCCAACAGCTGAAAGCTTGCCCAAAGAAGCTTTGGGGTGATTCGAAGCAGCGTTCAAGGACGGTTTCGGAGGTTGCGGGTTCCCGGGGATACCGTGCTGGGGGCCCAACGATTTGCCCCTCTCCCCTTGCTTAAAGTTTAATTTAGGGATTCGATATTTCCTATTTTGTTTTCATGGGGGGCTCATCTATTTTTGCAAATCGGCTTCCCTTACCTGTAACAGGTGCCGCACTTTTAGTGACCTCCTGCCAGCCCTTGGCCTCTCTTTCTCCCTGTCGAAATCATCGGCGAACCTTGCCGTCCAGACTCCCCGTGTTACCCTGCGATTACAGATGTCCAATGTGTGAAGGGTTTGAGGGGAACCTCCCGGGTAGTTTTCCTTTAAAGTTCCAGACAGGGTTGGCAAGAAATGGTTTAAACAGACTCTGGCCTTTGGGTTCCCGTAAAGCCAACCTGACAAGGGTAACAAAAACGATCATTTGTGGAGGACTCTTCCTTCATAACCGCCTGTGTTTCTTTGCTAATTTGCCCGGGGGGGGTCCTCCATTTTTATATCACCTCTTTGGTGGTTTCATGTGTTTTCTGGCGCGGGTTCATTGATGACATCCCCAAGACGGGGAACAGGTGTTTTCCCAGACCCTACGGACTTCCCCAGTGCAATGCTCAAGGCTCAAACACCATTGTTAGGAAGCACACCTCATGAAAGGTAAGGGACGTGGAAGTTTGGCGACTGTCGAACCCGGCTTCAACCTGCCGATGTATTTTTCCCCAACAGGGACAGCTATGGGGTCTTAGCCAATCGTCACTTGGGCAGCAAACAATCCATTGGGGGCGTTTCCTTCGGCGCCCATACTTCTTCGGCACCTCCCCCCCATTGTTGCAGAAAAGGTAGGAGTTTCTCGCTTCCTGCTGGACTTTGGTCACTTGTTGGCAAGCCATTTTGGCGAAACAGTTGTCGGCCCACGTCCCAGGCCTTCCTCACCTTCACCAAGGCAGACCTCTCCGAGGACTTCCCTCTCGCCTTGCTGATGGAGGACGCCGCTTTTGCCTGGCTGGGGCCCAAAGCCGGTGATTCCAGAAAAACTGGTTCCAAAAACGGGGTTCAAATGAGTTTGCTGCTGGGTGGTTGGTTATGTTTGCAGGTTGGAAACGTAGGGAGCCCTGTTGTTGTTTGGAGGCAAGGGACGCTTGGTCCCAACCTCACATGGACTTTCTTCAGAGGTCACGCGTCCCTTGCCAAAGGCCAAGAAACCATGTGATGTGTTTCTCGAACTTGGGGACTCGAAATGGCTGGCTTTCTTTCGGTTTTCTTTATTGGAACCATCCAGAAAGGTCACAGGTTGTTGAAACGCAGGTGTGAAAGCGCCGCAAGCCGCGCTTCCTGAGGTCTTCGGCTAGTTTAGCGTGCCCATCATGCTAGGCTGCACAAAGCTCAATTACGAAGCCACGCCCACGAGCCGAATGCATGGTGAAACGCATCATTTAAACGCGTGGTCAAAACGAATCATTCAAAAATTGGCTTTCAGCTGGGACTGTAGAATGCGCATGCGTGCCGTGCGTGAACAGTTTCAACACCTCACCCTGCCCCCCCCTTCCCACGCACAGAACCCCGAACAACCAGGGTTTTTGTCCGCCTGTTTCCCAAAACAATGGGTTAAACCCATTTTGAGACAGACCAAAATACCGAATCCAACCCTTCACTATTCTTAAGGGACACCAACAGGTAAGCTGTTGTCATTTGGCTTTCGCGCTGCTTAGGAGAAAAGCCCACTATTCCACAACGAGTTAAACTTTTTGCGGAGGGGCAGCCACCGTGGGTTTTGACCCCAGCTGCCAGCCTCAAACATTTGTTTGGTCATGGCTGTTGCCCAGTTGCCACCCTCTTTTTTTTTGGCCATGGCTGATCAGGAGCCGATAATCTTGAGGACGAGTCCGATCCCGCAAAGCAGATTTGTTGAATCTCACAACTTATCAACAGTAGTCGGGGCAGCATCATAACACACTTCAATTATTTTAGTACGGGGAATCAAGTGTTTTGGGAATGACCCAATGCATCCACAAGGAATCCACAAGGCTGTTCGGTGTGATTCCCTCACTCCCTTCTGGGGCTGTCCGCCAACATTTCCAGGACGTGTTGCGCCCAGCACTCGCGATCTCGGACATCGCCAGCGGTGCGCCGGACCAAAGGCAGAGGTGGCTGCCGCTGCGGGCGCTGGCGATTAGGCGAGGCCAGTTTCCCTTGCCACAAACAATTGGGTACCCCCAAAATAGACACCCATATTCCTGAGCCCCCAAATTACCATGGGTCATTTTCTTCTTTTTAGTGGTTTTCCCCAATGGTCATCCCATGTGACGGGCCTTTTGATCAACCCCCATATATGTCGAAATAAGAGGACCTCCAAAGATCGTGGTTGTCGTTTTTGCCGCGCGGAAAAAGCCAAGCCACCGGCAATGGCAGCCACCCCCCACTCCGTCACTTTTTGGAGGTGCCAAACCAAACCCAGAGCTTTCCCTCTTTGGGAAATCAACAATTTCTAGGTATTTGGGCCTGCCCCTCAAAAACGGCTCACCCTCTTCTCGGCTTTGCAGGCCAATGCTGCAAACTTGAGGCGCAACCCAACCCTTCGACCGCATCTTTTCGGGGGCCAGAGAGAGTTTCCTGCTCCCCCCCCCTCCGGCCCACCCCTCCCCGGGCCCACCCCCCCGCCTTTCCGGGGCCCCCCCCGGCCCCGGCTTCGCCTCATCGGAGTTGAGGTGCATGGCGCTGCACGCCTCGCTGAGCGCCGCCAGCGCAGCCGCGCACTGCCGCTTCTTCTCCTCGGTGCTGCGGCGCTGCGTGCCGGAGCTCCTGGCCGGTTCCGCCGAGCCCCAGGCGGCCGAGGCGGCCGAGGTGCGGACATGGGATTTTGATCCGCGTGGTTGCCAAATAGGACACCAGAACGTGGACCGATTCCTTTTTTTGAGAACCCGGAGGGAAAAAAGAGCTCAACAAATAGGCTGGGGCTTGGAAGCGCAGGACCTTTGGCTGTGGGTTTTAGGGCCACTTGCAATGATACCAAGGGAATCCCCTTCAAAGTGGTCAAGTAGTCATAGGAATTACCAATATTGACAGCCGAAAGGGTGATGTCCCCGCAACCCAGGGTGTACCTTGGGGACACTCAAAAAGAATGGCAGCCTTCCGGTTGGCCTGGCCGCTCAGGCCATCGTCTTCCACTGCTTTGCCTTTCTGGTGGATGCGCAGCTCGCCTTTTCCCAGGATGCCTGGGCTCTTCAAAAGGCTGCCCTCCAAAGAAGACTCGCCTTGGAACCAGATTTGTTAGGGGTCCGAACATGTCCGTTTTGAGCCAGTTCAAACATCCTTAATGCTTGGTGTGCTTTCAACCGTGAGATCCGAGGTTTGATTAAACCTAAAAACCATTAGCTTTGGAGCCAAGAGGGTGAGCTGAACCCAACGAGGTCATGCCTGAAGCTTCATTGAGGGTAAAGCCATTGGGAAACTTTAACGCGTGGGCGCTAGTCGTGAGAAGGCCCAAGAAAAACACCCCCCAGCGGGGATCATTTTTGTAAGGCCCTTCGTACAGGCGTTCCCCCAAACAAACCTCGGTAAGGCCTTGCTAAAGTCTCCCCGAAATGTTCTCCTTAAGCACCACCCCACCAAGAGGAACTCGCCTCAAATGAACGACCAACAAGTGATGCGCGTGGGCAGCCTTCTGAAGGACGCGTTGGGGTGAAAGATCGCGGTGTAGTAGTAGGGAAAGGGTAAAAATGAAGCCTCAGGCAAGCAATACCAAGTGTTCTTAAAAGGACCTCCCATATCTGAAGAGTTTAGAGATGAGGTCAAGGATTTCTATTGGCTCAGGGGCATCAACATATTGAATTTTCTGCAATATTTTTGCTGAAATCAGGGTCTATCCCGGCATGGATTGGCGAGCTCTCGGGTTTCCCTTAAAAACCACCCCACAAAGGGCAATGTAAGTGCCAACCTAGTGGGGGATCCTTCGTTTTGAAGCCTTTGGATCTCCGAAACCCGCGCGGAAACTCGCTCACCGAAGCCGGAAGCTGCAGGAGTCCGAGGTCTGGGAGCCCGTGGCCGGTCTGCTGGCAGGCGCAAAAGTCTCTCTCGTTGTTTGTGCCGTGAAGTGCGCGCAGATTTTTGGTTCCGGTGGTGTGCAAACCCCGCACCTTTTGGAACGGCTCTTTAAGAACTGAGCTTCCTTTTTTCCTTTTTTTTGGTGGTGGATGTTTGTAGCTTGGACGTATGGTTGAGACCCTGTTCAGCTTGGACAACGGCGCTTTTTTTTTTAATTATTAAACCATTTATAATGCCCTTGAGCAAAACCCTTGAGGTGCCTGTCTTGAGGGTGAACCTGCACAATCCTCGTGAGGTGCTTCTCTTAGGCAGTGGGTATGTGAAGTAGGTTGTCTATCAAGGACACCTGCCCCAGGATTATGAGCCCTGAGATTTGGCTTGGGATCCATCACCGACCCAGGTTGGCTGGGTTGGCTGGGTTGGCTTGGGTTGGGATGATGAGTTCAAGCCCAGCTCATGATAAACTAGACGAGCTCGGAGCGGAAAGGATGCTGAAAGGTTTGTAGCTCGGAAGGAAGTGGGATACTCCGACTGAAAAGGAGACAAATGCGAAGGTCTTCTTGATTGCTCCAAGGGAGCTACCTCGAAGAAGGTCAGGCAGTCAGTTTCCCTGGCGAGTTAGCACATATCTGTGGGTCTTTCCCCATTTTTATCCGGGATGGATTCATTCATGACATACAAAAGATCAGGCAGGAAGCGTTGCACCACACAATCAAGCCAGCATCGTACAAATCACGCACCTCTTCAGCAACAGTAAGAACTCCTGAAAGCAGCCCCAAAATCTGACACAAGCCAGCCAAAGGCCACCCCCAAGTTCAACCCTAATTAATCTAAGCAAAACAACAACTAATGCCAAGCGGTGGTCAAGGCCCAGCTAGCCCCAACAAACCAAAAAGCCAACCCTGGCAGAGCTCTAAAACCATCTGAAGAAGCCCACCAGATTCCTGCCGTAAGAACTTAAGCGGCTTGAAACCAGCCCTGCAACGCATGGGCTCAGACCTGTCTTGGGGTGGCGACAGATGAGGGGCAGACTGAGCCTGGGGCCCTCCCGCCCTCCTTTCAGTCACGGCACCCAGCCGCTTGCAGCGAGCCACTCAGGCGGTCGGCGCCTGAGCAGCGGCCTGCGCCAGGCGCTCGCCTTGCGCTGCTGCACGCTGCTGCTCTTCAAAGGCAAGCGGATTTGGGGTCTTCACATGGAGCTGATTTTCGGTCTCCAAATGGCTTTTTCGAAGGGGTTTTTCGTGTGTGCGTTTTTTTTTTGGGTGGGGGGGGGGGTGGGGTTTGGGGGGTCGGGGGGTTCGGAGGGTTTGAAGGGTTTTGTTTGTTTGGTTTTGGAAATTTTGTTTTTTTGGAGGCTGATCTACTTGGAAGCTATCTCCAAATGGGTGTGCATCCGCTCCCTTTTTCAGGTTCCCGTTTTAGCCAGGTTGAAGGCAAAACGAGAACCACTGTTTTGGGAGTCACCTTATTTAGGCCCATATGGGTGTGTCGTGTATTTCGGGGAACCCCGAACACCGGCTTCCGTTTCCTTTTGGTTTTCCTTTAAACAAAGGGTCCCCCAAAAAACGACAAACCTAAATGGGTATGACTTTTGATTTTGACACATGGGGGTGATTTTTAAAGGGCGGACCGTTTGATGGTGGGCATCCGAAACCGGTGGGGATTCATGTCGACCAACTTTGTGGTGCCTACTCAAATTCATAGCCACTTGGGTCTGTCTCAAAATTGGGAACCCCGACAATTGCTGATTTCCTCTCAGTTTCCCTTCAACAGCCAACTAACAGAAGTTCCCCTCAAAAAGCCCATGTGGGCGTGAATTGAAATACCGCCCCCCAAAGAAATGGAAAGCCATCCAAACGGGAGCCCGCCATTTTTGTGTGCGAAAACAGCAAGCATGCCTCAAAAGATGCTCATATTCGGACGGGTAAGACCTTAACTGGGGCTATCTATTCTAGTCGGCAGGCAAAATGTGAGTACCCTAGATCCGAGTGGGTACTGTATGTCTTTTCTAGGCGACCCCCCCCCCAAAAAAAAAAAAGAAGAAGAAGAAGAAGAGCAAAACAATAATAAGCCTTTTTTTGCTTCTCCTCGTGGTTTTCCTTACTTTCACCAGAATCCCATTTTTCCTCTACCACCAAAGTCCGTGGGTTTTCTCTTTAAACGCCGCACCCCGCGGGCGCCGGGTTGAGGCGCCGAAGCGAGTGAGTCGAGCGCGGCACGCTGGGCCTGCGCCTGGCTGCTGCTACAGGCCTTCGCGCAGGTGGGGGGGGGGGTCGGGGTTTGTCTTTTTGGGGGGGCACCACGGTACCCCCCTCTTTTGGTGAGGGTGGCGGGAAATGTTACCCTCTTTTTTGGTGGTTTTAAAGTGAAACTCAAAGAGAACCGCAACTGTTTGGGATATTTTGAGACAGGCCCCATTGCAGGGTTTCCTCCGACCTTGGTAAAAAAGCCAAGGAGCTGAAGCGCGGGGAGCTTTCTTCTTGAGCTAGTGGACATGGAAGCTTGGCGACATGTGTGGCTTTGCCTTTGTGCAAATCGCTGATTTGTTCGGTTTTCATTTTTTTGTTTTTTTTTAGTCTGGTCCGATTTTGATTTGCCATCTAGCTTTCCAAGACACCAGCGGGGTTCTTGTGTTGCGCTAAGTTTTGTTGGTGGGGTGATGTGTCACCAATGATAACCTGTGGGTTTGATCAGGTCTGGCAGTCTTTCAAGGAGCAAATGAGGCGATGGCCCGGTTGCCACAAAGTAAAGAGCGAATGAGCCAGTTTGGGAGGTTTCCAGGCACCAGCCTCTTAAGCCGAGTTGCCTTTTCAAGGTTTTTGTTGATTCGAAATCCACCTTTCGCAGATGTGGGCTGGGTTTGGGGCGACGTGTTTTTGGTTGCCACTTTCAGAAAGGGAGTCTGCGGGGCGCACCCTTAGTATAGGTTGGGTTGCTACTTTCTGTGAACGGGTGAAGCGACCTATGGGGTTCCCATGAGTGCAGAGCTACCCCGGAAAAGGAACGATCGACCTTACAAAGGGTTCGGTTGCGATTGATTTGGCCCTCCACTTCCTTTGTTTCTTTATTTTTGGGGGCTTTGTTTCAAGGGTGTGAAGTGCAGAACTCCTCTGCAAAAAAACTCTGGGTGTTTCCCAAAAGGAGCCACTGTTTTTGGTTTGGCTAGTTCTGTTCTGATGGCTTTGGGGTTCTTTCTGTTCGTTTGACGGCTTTGGGGTTCCTTGGGTTCTCACGTGTTGCAGGTTTCCTTTGTTCCTTTGGGTGTGTCCTTTTTGGAGGGTTCGTTTACTATCAAGAATGTGTAGGCATTGAAAAGGAAAGCCAAAAGGAGAGCCGAAGCCTAAGAAATGGTTGGGGTCCACCCTCAATCGAGATGGAAGTAGCCCAAGTCCATGAGCTCTGAAGCAAAAAGGGATTGGCCATGTAAGGCGTTTGGTTTTCATGGGGTACGTGTTCAACCAAGTGTTTTTTGTTTTTTGTTTTTTTGTTTTTTTGTAGTTGTTTGCAGTTATTCTTTCTGTAGCTGTTTGTAGTTGGTTGTAGTTGTTTCTGTAGTTGTTTCTATAGTTGTTGTGTAGTGTTTTATTTTTTGTATTTTTTCCCGAGCACCGAAGGACTGAAAGGGTCCCCGAAACCTCGATTTTCGGGAGCGAGCCAACCCTCGGCTGCGCCGGACCGATTCGCTTTTTCCCGGGTGCAGGTGGAGAGCCCGGAGGGGTCCCAGGCTGTGGAGGTGCAGAGGGGAGGGGACTGATTGGGTTGTTCAGTGGAAATGGTACGCGTATGGGCGGGTCCTTTTTTTGGAGGACCACCCAAAATCACGGTTTTACTCGTGGTTTCCCTTTAAAACCACCAACAAATGAGTACCCTCCAAAAAAACAGACCCATATGGCAACCAAAACCTGTGATGGCAAGTGGTATGGGTGACTTATGGTTTTATTGACTTTCCTCTCATGGTTAAGTGGCTTTCCTCTGTTAACCAAGGGAAGACCCGCCAAAAAGACTGCTTTAACAAAATGCTGTGGTATGGCAACCAAAACAAGGCGCATTGGTAAGGGCTGAGAAGCCACCATTTCAAGATCAAAGGGAGAATGGCTGCTTGCCGGCTAGAGCTGGTGTCCCTTAGAGATGGCTCCAACCAGCTTTCCACTTTTGCGGGTCTTTGG